CGGCTAACAGTGGCCGTGGGATCTATTCCAACCGGGCCAACCATGTCTCTTAACAATTAATAATTTTTAAACAGTTCGACTTTATATGGAAATCTGGATATGATATTCTCGCGACCCAAAAAATGGAGAAGTTTAAACGCATTCCGGTTTCACTCTGTGGATTTCCGGATATCCAAAGCATATCAACAACGCATCTTATGTTGCTGTTATATAATTGGGTATTTCTCCTTCCATCAAGTAAACTATATACTCCTCTGTTCTCCTGTATGCATTTAAAATAGTACGAACCATTGATGAATAACAAATTTAAAAAAATAACATACATTCTTAACATACTACTAGTTACTATAAGACACTTTTTCTGAAGACATCAAATCAAGAAAAAGCCAATACATTTGGTCATTGAATTATTCACAGCGCGTCACAGAACGACCATTTAGTACTCGAATCCGCAATCTAACGGTGAGAAAAATTCCCAAATGGTCCCGAAGCGTTTTTTGATCGTCAAATGAAATTGCCAATCAGTCGCTCATATGGATGAGAAATGGAACAGAAAAACGTTCTCCATTTTAATATAACATAGTCCTTTTATTTCGTCGTTCATACTTTAATTTTTTTTTACAACATAACAAAATATGTGATTTATCTTTCCTAGACATCTTGAAACTGAACCATTTTCACTTGAAAGCAAGTATGGCTATTAATTATATATATAGATATAGAATGTATAAAATAAATATTTTTTATTATTATTAAAGTTATTTGGAACTTTAATTGCGTCTTATTATTACATAATTGTTTTTAAAATGAAACACTTTAACGGTTTAAAACGCGATATATTAGTTAAACTTATTTGAGAATTATTTTGACGTAAAATCATTTTCAAATAAGTTTAACTAATATATCGCATTTTAAACCGTTAAAGTGTTTCATTTAAATGTGTACTACTCGCAACTAAGACATAATTGTTTAATTACCTTACAAAAGCAGTAATTTAAGTTTGACTTTATATTAATATAAATGATAGAGGTAATGTTTATCTGGATATTAGATGGGTGTTAATAACAGCTGAACTCCGTCCAAATTACGAATCACCGAACAAAGAAAAAGGCGATTTCCCAATGGCCAATATACCAATCCAAAATAGGCCGATAGCGTTTATGTTTGTATGTTATGCGGCTAGGCTATTTCGCCTACCATGAAGCGAACCCCACGCCTGCCTATCCTCCCACTAAAGGAAAAGCTGAAGGAGACTGAGTGGAAAACATTATAAGCCACGAAATCCCAAAAGCAACAGATGTCGCAAAGAACGAGCAATTACAAAGAAATGTCCATCGAAAGTAGAAAGCTCGATTCCGCGATGCTATCTCTCGAGTGAAGGAATGCCTTGGGCGGTTTTTATGACGCGGGATCCACAATACGTTTAGTCCGGCACAAATATGGTCATTAGTATGCCGGACATTCGGCCGCTGCCGAACAGCCATCGATGACGGGCAATGGTTTTTGTGGGTTAGATTCCGCGCACTGCTCCGTCGTTTCGATATTTTTGAATATATATTCTCGGTTTGAATAAAACACTTTTAACGGTTTGAACGCGAAATAAAGATATAGTTCCAATTTATTTTTAACTACGGACCTACGTTTCGGATGCCTGTAGAGATCGGGGGTGTCTCTAAGGCCTAATGTCTTACTGTGTTTAATATAAATGTGTACCACTCGCGTAAGCTTAACTTAATCGAATTTAACATATTTTTTCGGCATAAATACGGTTTATATTAATATTATTTTATTTTTAATAATCTTTTAATAGCTTTTAAAACTGAAAGTTTATGCTAATCAAAAATCTACATGGATTAGGCTCACAGATGGATAGAAGGGACAACAACACATCTCTGTACGTATGAACGCATATTAAAACAACACTGCTTTATTATTTTCCTACATCTTAGACAAAAGTTAGCTTATTAACAGAATAAAAAATATTCTCAGTTTCGTACACGAGTAAAACACATTAAAAAAAAAAACACTTTTTCTGTTAAAAATTAAATGTTATTATTTATTTTAACTACGACCAGACGTTAAAAGAACTTACGACCGAATTGCATAGTTTAGATTTTTAGCCCACTCACTTATATTCAATATGGTATACGTCAAATAGTGAAAAAATGTATCTTATGCTTATCTGTATCCGTCATCTTGGACACCATTCCTTGGACGACAGAGTTCCGAATAATGAAAAAAACAGTAGCGAAAATTTATGGCCTGTGAGCGAAAAATGTCGCTTCTAATTGCACTCGGTAGAACGAAGTATGAGGGGGAAGCTGTTTTTCCATATGCTCGAGTTCTTGGTCGCCCCTCGACTATGGCCGGAAGGTCATAATTGGTCTCCGGAGCGCGAGATATGTGTGCAGAGGTTTGCCCGGCGCTCGTGGCTCGATCGCGATGCTTCGGAGGTTTGGAGGGCCGCAGTTCGATGATCGGAACAGTAATTGGGAGTTTTGCGATATTCTTAGAATACTCTTGGCTGATATTTGACGGGCTAGTGATGGTAGCAATGTAAGATTTATAGTCAACGGGTCGTGGGTTCGATCGCCACTTTAATTCTAAATATATTTTGTAAAAAACGTTGGAAAACTGGATATTAACTACTCTGGATATTAAAATATTCCTACCACCCATGGTAGGAATATCGAAATTCCGTCCGAATCATAGACTTCTGAATAAGCAAAGCCTTTGACCTAACATGAGACAGCCTCGTCCTTGTCTGTCCTCTTCTCTCATAAAACAAATGAAACCTGTAAAATTAAAAAAAAACAAGATGAACCTTTTAGGAACTTGATAGTTTCCACAATAAAGACCTTACACAGGATCAACTTTTATACTAAAAATTAAAACCGATTCATGTTTAAAATTGTATTTCTATATATAGAAATATGTATTTTAACAAAAGTAAATATATTGTTAAAGTTAAAGAAATCAATATATCGACTTTAAACAAATTCTGTTAAAAAAACCTATATTTTATACTGTCTATAGTTTACGCGAGTAGTACACATTTAAATAAAACACTTTAACCGTTTAAAACGCGAAATATTTACATCAGTTAAACCTATTTACAAATTATCGCCAAATACCCATTTTAAACCTCTATCAATGCATCTCGTATGGTATTATAGAGTATAGGTAAGCGCTAGAAATAGCTATGTGAGGCTTGAGGACTGAGGGGGTGGGGGTGCGGGGTGCACATTCCAGCGCCGGCGCACCTTGTTGGTATTCCGCGCTCGCGTCGCGCGCAAACGCAAAAAAAGACAATGACTCTCCGTATAGCTCTTTAAGTTCCATCAGTTCGATACGATTCTGTCTTGTCCTAAAACGAAGCTTCGTTTATGGAACTGTTTTATATGTCCCTCGTTGTTCCTACCGACTAATGATCTTTTTCATATTATACATTTTCTCCTGGGCGTCTTAATTCCCGGTTTCATTTTTCTGCTTGTTCAACTAATTCCAAATAGAATTGTTTAGGGTGTAAGAAAGAACCTATTATTAAATTTAAATAAAAAACGTTTAACTGTTTAAACGCAATACATTAAGTCACTTATTCCAAATTTATTAAAGTCCCCCTGTGATCACGGCTACTGTAAAGCATCCGAAACGTCGGGCCGAAGTTAAAAATCATTTTCAAATAAGTTTAACTAATATATCGCGTTTTAAACCGTTGAAGTGTTTTATTTAAATGTGTAGTACTCGCGTAAAATATAGACAGTATTTAACTACATAGCTTCCCATATGATTAGGCCCGCTGCAGGAAAATAAATTTTACCTTAATACAGCTATGTTCGAGCAAAAAATGAACCGCTCAAACTATAAATAACAATAACACGACTAATTCAATTAGCTGAGATGACATTTAGGTGAAAAAAAGTTATTAAAATGGCTCTTAATGAGAGTCGTTGCTAAATGTGGTTGTCAAAAACACAACTTACTAGCTGTGTCAGCGAATACGTCCGCATCAAATATGTTTTTGTATACCTCCTATTCAGTTATATAAATTTAAACTGTTCGCGTCCCGTCGTTCTCGCATGTTAATCTTAAAAGATAGACTTAAACTGACGTGAACACGTTTTGACATCAATTAAAAAGGAATCAATCAAAATTTTGTATCATTTTTCATACTGAATCAACAATCATTCTCTTCACATTTTCCGCTTTTTCTTCGCTCTTAATAGTAGCAGTATGTTTTATAGCCTTCCTCGATAAATGCTCTAAGACAAAAACAATTTTTAACCATTCCTGAGATTAGCTCGTTCAAACAAACAAAGAAACTCTTCGACTTTTTATATTAGTATGGATAAATAATAACACACTACTTTTGATAAGAGCCATGTTGCTCAAGCAGTATGAGTACAACAGTTTGTGATAGAAGTGATAGACAAGCAGATTCACTTCATACAATGTAAAATACCCCAGTTATGTAACTGGTTAACAAGATGCACTTACTACATATTTGAGTCTTGGACAGATGTTCATTTCCCCATTGGAGGAAATTTAGAGCAAATAGCTCGAGACCCAACTGTGGGATCTGTTGTGGATGCAATGTGTGCAATGGAAGCATTTTGAATTATAATTCAAAATTATATAAAAACATTGATTGAGTTATTTACCTAACTCAATCACCATATTACTTAGTACGAAGTAAATTTATTTATTTAAATCTATATTGCAACACGCACAAAATATATACAAATGAAACCTGAAATATATTCTTAATAATATACCTACCTAACTGTTACGCAATTATTATTACTAGATAAGAAGTGCAATGGGCGGCCTTGTCGCTTTAGAGCGATATCTTTTAGGCAACATTGGTTAAATTTTATTTTAAATAGCGGCTGTCAAACTGTGTAAATACATTTGCATTTACCCCGTTTTGTTCACTGCGTCCGATAACCTAAGTGTGAAGTAAAAATTACGTGTGTAGACTCGTTTTATGACGTTTAAAAATGGAATGCGAAGGAACGAGACGTATTGCGCTAGAACGCAGCGGAGACGCCCACGGGCGGGCGGCCAATGGCGGCGGAGCGCGGCCGCCATTGGCCGTCGTTTGCCGCCGAAACGCGGAAAAAACGCGCCAAACGAAAAACAATGGCACACCGCTGCCAATGTCACCGCGATACGAGTACACGGGCGATCGCGTGGTAATTACAATGTATCGGCTTTAAATCCGTTTAATTGCACGCGACTTATTTACTTTTTTATGATAATGGAGGACAGACGGGCATGGGGTTTACTGATGGTAGGTGATAATATACCTCAGACATATTACTGTATGTAATGCAATGCGCTGTCGATCTATTTTGGCTTTGGATATTCGGAAATCCACAGACACCAAAACGCGATTAAATTTCCAGACTTTTTCATTTGTTGCTGGGGTGCAAATTTAAGAGATTCTGAGTTCGGTCCTACTGGGTCCAATATGTTTGTAATTAATTTACATTTTTTCTGAAACATGTTGGGCTTCGTGTGGAAATCTAAATGGTGGTTGGAATATCTCAATTTCCGTCCAGGTCACGCACCACCGTCCACAAATAAAAAGCCGTTAAATTTAATCACCTTTCGGGTTTAGTCTGTGGTTTTAGAATATCCACAGTCAAAACAAATCAACGGCGCATCTTGATTAGATGTGAAATGGCTAAAAAAATTCAATCGAACACCATGCCTCTCTATCCTCCTCTATCATAAAAAAAATATCGTCTAACCCAGAATATCAAACTAAGATCTGTTTTCGATCGAGTGAACTAGGTGACTAGACCAAGGGTGGTAGGTACTTTACACTGACTATAATAAAGGTATGGGAGGAAACCAGTCTCCAGGGTGGTCTTGAGGTCGTGCTTAAGGTGCTCTATCAGCAATCAACAACTTCCACGCACAGCACAGTGCCGCTTTCCCACGCGACTGTCCAGCCCATCTTACAACTTTGATGTAATCTCAAATCTATGTTCGTACTGTTTATTCAGCGACGAAGCTGGAGGTTGCTATTTGTCCTTAGTACTTATATTTACAGATGTAGGTAAACAGTACTAAATCCAAAGAATATCTCAAACCAAAATAGGCCGATAGCGCATCTTAATTAGATGTTATATGGCTGTAGTCACCTACCATCGAGTGAGCTCCATTCTGTTTTATCGTGCTCTATCGTAAAACAGTTGGGCTTATTTTTTACTTAATAAGGTAAACTGAAAACAAATGTTTTAGATGAAGACATAATTATTGACAGATTAAAATTGCTTCAATATATAGATAGAAACTACAAATTAATAAGAGTCATATAATTTTTTTCATAGATTAGATACGCTGTTGTAAAAGTAGAAAGAAAAAACATGTCCCGTAGGTACATGAGTAAATCAATTTTAAGGACATAAAAATAACTCCTATTTAAGCGCATTATTTATGTTAGCTCAATTGGTAGAGCAAAAGGAAGGAATCTTTTGGTAGTAGATTCAAGTTTCAATGTGTCATCGTTCCAATCTAAAAGCCAAATAATTTACATATTTAAATTGAACACTTACAGTTTAAAACTCCATTGCCTAAAAAGCATAATTTGATTTACCCGTCACGGCTGCTGCAAGGCATCCGAAACGTCAAACCGTTGTTATAATACATTGAAAATAAGTTAGGTAATATAGATCGCGTTTTGAACAGTTAAGATTGTTTTATTTAGATGTATATTACTCGTATAACTACAGACAATACCTAATTAACATTATAAAATTATACTATATACAAACTATAAGAAAACACATAACCTAGAGATATGATTGTTACAGCTATGTATGTTTGTGTTTCCAAATGAAAGTTTTATTTTAAACGGGACTGCTCGTCAAACACGATCCATTTAATGTGCAAACACTAAAAGGGGTGTGTATTTGTGTTTGTACAACACTGAGACGTGCAAACAGAAAGGTCCCCAAGTTTTTAATATAGTGTTAACGTTACATGTAGAAATGAAGATTCAATAAGCAACACGGCCCGATGGTCTCCCCGTGACCACGGCCGCTGCAAAGCTTTGTAAACGTCGGGCCGTAGTTAAAATTGTTTGGAAATTAATTTAACAAATACATTTCGCGTTAACGAAGAAAATAATTTTAATCACAGTGTCTAGAAGAAGGGAAAACTGTTATATCTGTTAGGTTATTATTTTATAATCATACTTTACCAGTGATTTTTACTTCCGTGTCGTATAAAAAAAATATGTTCCTACTCGTTACGCGTTCCGGGGTAACGTACTTTCAAGTAGCAAAGTTCAGGTGGAAATATTGCAGAGTGTTTCGTATTTAAATCCCGCTTCTTGACAAAACAAACGGCCGAAGTGCCCTCCAGAGGTCCCGGGCTCTCAAACAATATCACTCGCTCGAGAATCGGTTTTTCATCATCCCCTAATGACACCCTCGAAGGGCTTTCGCAATTTAGGAACGAGAAGTACTAGGTATACATTCGTACTAATAAAAAGGAAGAATAACAGTTTTGGAAGCGTAGTGCGGACGAATTCCTGTGCCCAAAATAATTTACTATTTGTATTTATTTCACTTAGTTTTAAAGTACAAAAGTACTTTGTAAAAATATGAATATTATACCGGTATACATGAATCATACAACTCACCTGTACAAAAATACTTTTTCTTTTAAAAGTAATTAACAAAGACGATCGAGTTAAATATGTAACTAAATATTATGTAATCAATTGCTATAAATGATTCAAAACGTATATTTTATTTAAATGAAACACTTAACAGTTTAGTACGCGAAATATATAAGTTAACTACAATTTATTTTAACTGCGACCCGACGCTGCATTCTGGATGCTTTACATCAGCCGTGTCGCCCCATGACCACTTCACTAATATACTTCGCGTTTTATACCGTTAAAAGTGTCTTATTTAAACGTGTACTCGCGTAAACTACAGACAATACGTATATTTTATAAGTACATAATCCATATTAACTTTGACGCATCTGTAACACTTAGTTAGGCCGCTCTTGAAAGTAGCTTTAATTAAAAAATAGAAAATAATTGAAAAACAAAGTGTAAAACGCGTGTTCAAGTACGCGCCAGAATCGCTTTGATATGCAAAGTAGCGAGGCACAAGCGTGACTTTTACAACTTCACATAATCAAATCTAATCCGAGCTTGGGGCAACAGAATATAATAATTAATTATGTGAGATTGTTGTCTGCCTTATTTACTATGTTTTATTCATAATTGAGTCACTAAAGACATTCAGTAGCTAGACAAAACTATTTGCTTATCCTTGCGAAAGTAACTCTGTCTGTCTGTCTGTCTCTTTCACACCAAAACTACTGAACGGATTTGAATGACATTTGTTACACAGATGGTTTAGACCCTGAGAAAGAACATAGGCCATTTTTTATTGCGAAAAAGGGGTTGTAAGGGGTTAAAAGGGGGGGGTGAAAGCTTGTATGGAAATTCGTGGTTTTTGAAGCTAGAACAATGTAACTTTCTTCTTTGGCTTTTTGGGAATAGGAGTGGGAGTGGGGATGGGAGTGCGAGTGGGAGTCGAGTTAGAGTAGGAGTGATGTGAGGTGACAGTGTTGCAGCAAAATAGCATTGGCTGCGATAAAAGTGCAATTACATAAATTAATAAACAGCCTAAATAATTAAAATTTCTACCCCAAGTCATTATTCCACACGAACGAAGTCGCGGGCACAGCTAGTTATATATATTAATAAATACGTCTGCAGTAGGTACACCCCGTAAACCCATAAACCGTTGAATAAAAAACTTTTAACGGTTTAAAACGCAAAATTCATTAGTTTACTTATTTGCAATTTGTTTAAACGGGTGGTACTTCAGATGCCTTCCAGTAGCCGTGGTTACGGAGGGTCTCCCTCTGTAAGTAAACTGTAAATGAGGTCTAATAGATTTCGCGATTTAAACCGTTAAATGTGAGAACTATACTCTAAAATAGCTTATTTATATCTCTCATACCAGTAGATTGACCAATGTATGTAGTTAAAAATAAGTTAACTAATATATCTTGCGTTTTGTAACGTTAAATGTACTGTCCGTAGTTACGGCAAGTAGTACACACTAAAATAAAACACTTAGATTGTTTAAAACGTGATATCTATCAGTTGAACTTGTTTGGAGATGATTTTAGCGACGGCCCGACGTATCAAATAGAGTATTTATAATAATTATATAATAAACAATAATCATTAATCGTTATGCGATTCTTGTTAACGAATAAACAATGTTAAAAACATCAGAAGACGATAATAAAATTGTTATGCTAATAGCAGCACCAATTAATTGATCAGCTGAACGCGTTACCAGTTATCGACCAGTCAGGAAGATCTTAGCAGCAAGGTGGGTGGGTAGCCCTGTCTCAGCATTGCTGAGAAACAGCTGCTGATTTCTTAGAACGAACACTATGTACGAACACTTGCGTAATTGGTAAATAACTTTTTGTCGCGGCTATCTATAGATCTAATTAAAACCAACGGACATAATACACATTGTAATGTAAGTAGGTACGTACAAAACGAACGTGTTTTGTTTGTTTGTTCGCGTATATGTATGCGTATGTATAATACGTTGCCGGTTGATGTTGCGAATTTATCAATTAATAAATTTTAAAAAGTCATAAAATTTAGATTGTCTCAAAAGGCGTATTATGGCTTGAACGATTTCTTTAATGACAAGGATGCCTAGCAGTAATTCGAATTGCTTCTTAGGTCAATAAATTCAGAAAAATGTATTAGTTTATATAACGTGTTGCAAAAAGCCGGACTGATTTTCTTGGGTGTTCTTCTCGGTCATGTTGCTCTTTGGAACACTCTGCAGAATCACGTCAGACAGACAAGACTAACATTTTATTCACGACTCTAAATATTTTTTTATATTTTTATAGAGAATAAAGTATAGTAAGGAATATCTTACCAGTAAGGTATCAAACCGGCGCGCCGCTCGCATTCGTCGAGGAAACATCGTTCAAAAAGACTCTAAGTGTCCGTGTTTAAGTGGGTAGATTTGAAATAACTCCGGTTTGTTTTTTATTATTATTTTATTTTTATCAAATTACCTAAATCTATATTTTATTTCATAGATGTGGATAGTTAAAAGGCATGTAAAAATAACAAGAGCTTTTATCGCTTCAATAATTATTATCAAATAAAATGTACATGAGATAAATTATATGAAGTAAATTATTATTTCAAAATTTGATTTATTAAAATATTGTTACGGTACTGTTGAGGGAATAAAAAATGAATTATTATCTGTAGACGAAAATGTGCAAATTTAATTTCTAATCTGTGATCATAATATTACATAAAAATTATCTGTCATAAACTTATTGTATAATTTGTCTAACGCAGTCTGTGGCATATTGTAAAATTTTATGTTAGCGGTAAATAATTCATCTCCTCTATGTTACTTGTCTCAATACGCCAAAGAAACATTATTTAATAGATAATATATCATTCTATTGTGCAATAAGTAGTATAAGATGTCTTTTTTCTTCCTTTAGTGCTTCATACCTTACTCGAAGCTACCACGAAAAATACTCGTCTTAAGTTTTGGAATTTTTATCTGTTGCTTTTCCTTATTAACTACGAGTAATTAGCGAATGAGAGTTCTTCTGCCTTACAATTTTTTTTAAGGTATTTTTTCGTTGTATTATTCGATTTATGTCTTTACGAGTCTATAAACTTTTCTTAATGCAGATTCCATCTGTCTACAAAAATGGTTCCTTTTGACATGACCAGACGTATACATACACTAGGTGTGTCAGTGACTTCGTCCACGTAGAATAGTTATTTTGCCCATCAAAATTTGTTTTACTTCATCTTCCCCCATAAAATATAGCTGTTACCCACGAATTTGGTCGTGTCCCGTCATCTTTGCAAGATAATCTTAAAATAGAGATCTATCTTAAAAGAAAGACTATCCTGGACATT